TGTCCTGTTATCAGTTTGTCCTACTTGATGTAGTTTTTTTTATAAACATATGTTAAAGGAAAAAGCTTATTCATAGAATATGAATTTTAACCTAATTACAATACAGGACCTTAGCCATTTAGAGGAGCTCTGCATTGCATAATTTTTAAAGCAAATAATTGCATTCTAATTTCCTTGTGTAAACAAACACTACTTTCCCTTCCTTCATTATTTTTTATATTTGGTTGAGAGAAGCTCAGGATAGACGGGGAGAGAATGCATAGCTAAAAGCAAACTGGATTATCATAGTATAAACCACAAAATGATACGTAGGAGAACAGGAGGCAATATTTAAAATAGAAACGTAAAAGCAGAAGTCTGGGAGAGAAAAATGTTAACAAGAGACTCAGCATCTAACTTAGAGAAGTGCTAGAAAATCAGAAACTGGTCTTTTTACTTGGTAAACAGATCATCATTACCACCACCATTTACTGAGTACCAGCTGTGGGACAGATATTGGGAAGGGTAAAGTGTTTCAGCACAAAAGCCACGCTCACCAGAACTATGGGCAGGCAATTGAGCGAGCACTGTGACTTGTGGGTGAGGCAGTCAACTAGCCGAAGAGCTGAAATCTCCGAGGCCTGGAATACAGGAGGCAGGGGAACCCTGGTACACAGAAGGGTGGAGAAAAGTCAAACAGCAAAGAACAACAGCCTATACCGGAGGTCTGTCTGCTGGTGCAGCACAGACACCTAAGCCGGTCCGTGCTGCAGGAGGCAAAAGAGATGACTCAAGTGGGATTTTAAAGGATAAAAAAAATCAATCCAGAAATCTGCATGTTTATCCCTAAGGCACCGGCAGGGTATTTCCTATGGATAGTCATGTTTGAGGACAAGATCCCTGCCAGCCCGAACCCACGTCTGGCAGTTAAGTGAGCAAGAAGGGTGAGGCGGATAGAGAATAGGGTATTTCCAGCCACACACATAATTCTCGCCCGTGTCCATGTTTTATCTTTAGAGATATCTTGCGTTTACAGGGCTGCTTCGGTTTTATTGTAAACACATATCAATTTTGAAAAGAGTTTAGGTTAGGAATCTGAGAAAGCAAAAGAACCTCAATGTAATTGTGCCCTGGAGTCTCACTCTCTCCCAGGGTCTTATCGTGGTTAAGAATATTGGCCATCCCAACAGGCATATGAAAAAATGTTCAACATCACTCGTAATAAGGGAGATGCAAATTAAAACCACAATGAGATACCACCTCACCCCAGTTAGAATGGCACATCTTCAAACAACTAGCAACAACAATTGTTGGCGAGGATGTGGCGAAAAAGCAACTCTCCTGCATTGCTGGTGGGAATGCAAACTAGTACAACCACTATGGAAAACTGTTTGGAGGTTCCTCAAACTGCTAAACATGGCGCTTCCCTACAACCCAGCAATCACACTCCTAGGTATCTATCCAAAAGACACAAAAACACTGATTGAAAAAGATACTTGTACCCCCATGTTTATTGCTGCTTTATTTACAATTGGAAAAACATGGAAGCAGCCCAAATGCCCAAAAGTAGATGACTGGATTAGAAAGATGTGGTACATATATACAATGGAATATTACTCAGCAACCAAAAAAGAGAAACACATGTCTTTTGCAGCAACTTGGATGGAGCTGGAAAAGATCATGCTTAGTGAGATAAGCCAGAAAGAGAAAGAAAAATACTGGATGGTTTCACTCATAGCAGGAGTATAATGGACCAGGCGAGAAAATAACAAAAATAATGAACAACCATATACCAGAGACATTCTGTGGGGGTGGAGTGGGGAATGGGATCAAAAACGGGGTGGGGGGGGAAGGGAAGGAAATGCACGGGACTATGGTGGTGGCACAGGGGTGATTTGGTGATGGGAAACCTGCGGGGATTACAATCGAGATGGAAAAAAAATGTGCAAAATGATGTAAAAATTAACTTTGTAATTAAAAAAAAATGTATTCAAGAGAGAGTGAGGAAAACAATAAAGTTTCTTTGGGTGGTTAAAAAAAAAAGAATATTGGCCATCTATATAATTACTGAACTTGGGCTCTTCCTAATGTAAGGTGTAAGTACAGTATGGTTCATGTCTAGAATTTTTAAAGTAAACTGATGGAAGTACATTGAAGACAGTTTGGTGAAAAACTAATTTGGAGTATTCTATTTACAAAATTTCTTTCACCCTTCATTTCAAGGCAAAGATCTTTAAGACAATGCTTGGAAATGAGATCTGCACAGGCTGAAACTGAGTACTGTGTATTTTTTACATCGAAAATAAAAGTGCTTATAAAATGGGATCCACTTAAGAAAATACTTCTTGTTTTAAACCAATTTTTTAAAAAGATTTATTTATTTATGCACACAAAACTAGGGTACAGGCCAGAGGTGCAGGGGTGTTGAGACAATCACCAGAGTGGGGAGAAGAACAGGCAGATCGATGAGGTACACTGCTGAGGGGAGCAGTGGGTGGGTCAGGAGAGGTCTGCTGCACCATGTGGATCACCTCTGGGGAGGGATTGAACTCATGCTGAAGTGGCTTTAGCTTCTTAGTGCTGTGCTTTAACCCGCTGCACCATCAAGGAGGGCCCAGAACCAATTATTTTTAAGTCACATTGTTGTCTAAGCGATTACACAAACATATTCATTTTTATTTTTTTATATGAAGGAAAAAATTAAAACTAGTAGTCATAATTTGTGAAAATCATAAGAAATATAGCATACCTGGTAGAAAACCAGCAGATTTTCTATATCTCCTAATTTGCTCTCCCCTTTTTTGGCAATGGTTATGAACAAGTGTTGATGGGACAGTCCATTACCTGAGTCCTTACTCCCAATCCAGCCCAGCAATCTTTTCTTGAGTTACCTTGGCCATGCCAACATTTTTGCTATTGTTTTTTTTTCTTTTTTTTTTTAAGAGTTAATTATTTACGCATACAGAACTGGGGTACAAACCAGAGGTGTATGGACAGTGAGAGGCCTCACCAGAGACAGAGTGGGGAGCAGAACAGGCAGACTGACAAAGTACACTGCTGGGGGGAGCAGCAGGCAGGTCACCCCCCGGGGCTGGGGATCGAACTCACACTGAAGCAGCTGTGGCCAGCCTGCAGTGCTGAGTCCTAACCCGTTGCAGCACCACGGAGGGCCCTGTTGTTTTTCGTACAATAAGAATCATATATTTTCATTATGTTTGTAAGATCATGTGACCTGCTCATAAGTTTCTGTTCCACTTAAAATCTAAAATCCTTCTGTGGCCCATGAAGATCTGGCCCTTTATTCCTGTCCATGTCACCTGCTTGTACTCCCTGTCCTCTCCCACGCCTTCTGTGTGCCAGGTAGCACTCACCAGTTCCTCTGTCACAATGGCTTTGTACTTGATACTCACTTTTCCTGGCTTGTTTTCCCATAGCTCTTTTTACCTGTGGGTAAAACTGAGTATGTTCCAAATTTACATTTCCAATAACTGGGTAAACAGTTCTGTGTTGATCTGACAAAACTTTTTTTTTTTTTAATCTTCCCATAGAATTAGTTACTCTTCTAATATCTTTATTTTGGTGAAATGTCTTCCCTACATGGTTAGTAAATCCAATAGGTCAACTCTCTGGCCAGTTGTTCTTTTATTATATCTCTTTAAAGCTGTTCTTTCCTGCCTATTTGCAAGGGCACCATCTATAGTGAGCACCTCACCTCCTATCTCCTCTTTGTTGCCTTTTTTTTTTTTTAAGATTTATTTATTTATACATACAGAATTGGGATAGGCCAGAGGCTCAGGGGCAGTGAAACTCTTCACCAGAGACAGAGAGAGAAGCAGAACAGGCAGATCGACGAAGTACACTGCTGAGGGGAGCAGCGGGCGGGTCAGGAGAGGTCTGCCACGCCATGTGGTCGGTCACCTCCGGGGCAGGCGGGGATCGAACTCATGTGGAAGTGGCTTAAGCTTCTCAGTGCTGTGCTTTACCCTGCTGCGCCACCAGGGAGGGCCCTTTATTGCCTTTTAGAGAATCACACCACTCAGCCTTTCTCTTCCAAACCATATAGAACCTAAGCTAGTCATTTAATCTATTTAGTTGTGTTTTTTTCCCTATTCAGACTTCAAAAAATGCCACCTTCTAGTCTTCATGATAGAGTGAATCTGTTATCATATCAAAGTTCCCACTAACCTAGCTTCATTCTATCTTTCAAATTCAATTTCCTAGCATTCCTCTTTTCTGACCTGTCCTTCTCCAGCAAGATCGATGGGCTCTCTTTCCTCTGATCCTATAATTTACTTCCCAGCTGCCTCTGTTTCCTTGTTCATTGTTTTTATTTCCTTGAAATTCTTGAACACTTTTTGTTGCAATCCTCCCTCATTTCAGGACCCTGCATAATTCTCTATTTCATGGGAATCTTCATAATTTTTGTCTTCATTTCTGTTTTGACATGGTGTTCAGTTTTATGTTATTTACTTCCCCATGCATGCCTTATCAGAATTCCTGGTATTCTTTTACATATCTCAAGTACTTTCTGCATAATAAGAACTGGCTATACATTTTAAAGTGTCACCAGCAGTAGAAATTTTGCTCCCTATTTTGTTTTTCTAAGAATTTTAGGAGGCACTTTGCCTAGAACAATGGGTTAAAATCTGGTAGTAGGCACTTCATCCACTTTGAAATAAATTAGGTTTAGCTTCTCAGAGAACTTGATTATAATTTATCAAGATATACTGGCAAACATGCAAATTCTAATTTAACCTAATGAAAGTACTGGCAATTTAAAAAGATTCACCCCAGGAGATGACTAATAAAGAATGGTCCACTCAGCGAACTATTGAATGTTGGATCCAGACGTCTCTAAATAGTTAAAAATTTCCCCTTCTTTTCCCAAAGAAGTACAATGTAGATGTGTCTCTATTTTATAGTCCGTTAGCAAGTAATACTGAATAGTCATTAGTTCATTTCTGATGACCATTTTTTTACTTTGATTGTATACTAATAGCATTAATTTTGTTTTTCCACAGTACTTTGGAAGTTTACTTGTCATTTTCTGTGTAGAACTGGCTTGTGGAGTTTGGACATATGAGCAGGAAATTGTGGTGAGTTCAAAATGGAATATAATCACAGTTTGGAAGAAACAATATTTAGTTGAGTTTTTAAAGTTAGATACCTTGTAGTCATTTGGACACATAGCTATCCATTGAAATGTTTATACTCTATGATGAGGACAAGGATTCCCATTACTTCTGAAAGATAACATTTTCTTTTCTGTATCTAAAACATTGTTCCCAATCATAATTGGTAATATTTCATCTGGCGTCTTTAGCTCCACAGATTGCTTAAACATGGATATAGAGGCTAAAAATAATATATGTTCCAAAACAATTTTATCAACTTCTGAGTATAGAGTAGGAAAGATTTGCATATACAACCAAATTTACATAAGTTTGAAAGTCTACATGAAAGCCTTATAACGTGAAACAGTGTAGCTGCCTACCGATGACAAGAAAGTGTGTCTTCTGTGTAGCAAACTGATCTTCCACTTTAAGATGTTGCTATGTTAGTCTAGAAACATTCTCAAGTTGGAGACTTAGCTCTTCAGCATGTCACTCATTCATTTTAACAACTGAAACGGCTAGAACAGTTTTTATAGTTAATGTGGGATTGGTCTCCCCAACGGGTCAGATAGGCTTTCTTAATATGTCCCGGGTAGGCCTTTTCCCATAAGCGTCACCTTGGTATGCAGAACTAAGGTCAACTGAAACCCAGTGGACCTTGGGAAGAAACTATTACCGTCACTTAAAGAATGCAGATTATTTTGAGTTAATAGCAATGAAGACCTTAGAGACTGAGGAGAAACTTTTGTTTTTGTCTTAGTTCTTTTACCCTTCCCCTACTGGAAGAAACAATTGCTGCTCCCTTTTTATGACCTAGAGTTTGTTGGGGGAGGTATTATCCAGGTGTAGATTTATCACTGAATATGTCTGTTCTGTCACAGTACAGTAGCAGATTCACCACAGAATGTTTGCTAACTGCATCAATATCAGAAAAAGCTTTGATTTTATTAGACAACTGCCAAAACACATCTCTGAAAAAATGCAAAACAACCTCCCTCTCTTCTTCCGAAATCTTAAATTTTAAAATGCTGAAGCCTCAACTGAGAATGTTTGCTAACTGCATCAGTCAGAGGACTATCATCTTTTCACTGTTGGAGTAAAGATGCAGCCTTCCTTCCTTTTCATATATATTCTCCCTTTTCCTTGATACCACAGTCCATTTGCACAGGATATAAACCCCCATTTGTCCCATTTACTGCCTTGTAAATTCTCCATATGGATGTTATTAAAATTTGGCTGCTTCTTCTATTAATATGTTTACTATTAATTTGTTCATTCATCTAGCCTCAGAAAAACCCAAATGGGTGGGGGAATTTTCCACATGCCCCAGCTCTATGTTAGCATGAAGAGTTAGCAGCTAAGATGCTACCAGTCATTTTTGTTTATCACTGATATTACACCTTTGCTTACATTGTGTATTATTACTTATTTGATGTTTCTCACTTTATTGGTAAAAGTTGGTGCATTTATCAAAAATGAGAGCAAAGCATCTTTGAATATCTGTGATTACTGGCTGTTTTCATAGGGGCAGACCAGATTCTTTTGTAAAGTAATTCAATTTAAATAAGATGATGTTTTTCAATGTGTAGTTCTTAGAGTATCTATAGCAGGAAGTTACCTAGGATGAGTCTTTAAAATGCACATTATGCAACTTTAGATCAGATGTGCTGATTCAGAATGGAGGGAAAAGCAGAGGAAGAAAGGATGGGGACTTGGATGTTTGCTTTTGTGACCAATTCCCCAGTTGAGGCTTCAGCGTTTTAAAATTTAAGATTTCGGAAGAAGAGAGGGAGGTTGTTTTGCGTTTTTTTCAGAGATGTGTTTTGGCAGTTGTCTAATAAAATCAAAGCTTTTTCTGATATTGATGCAGTTAGCAAACATTCTGTGGTGAATCTGCTACTGTACTGTGACAGTGTTTGAATACTAAGTGGTAATTACAGACCAGTAGGTACTCTGCCCCCTCCAATTTACATGGAAATGATGCTTTGGTGCTGTGGCACATCTGTACTCCTCTGGAAATGCTTGGCCTGCAAACTATGACAATTCTCAGTAAGACCCAAGAATTTATGATTATTATTTTTTTTCCTTTAGTAAACATGGCAAAGACAGTACAGGGTTTAACTAGTTTAATAGCAAGTAAGAACTTCCTTCAAAACTGAATCTCCCCTGAAGTATTTGGAAATCTCTTGCTACCTTCGAGAATTCTAGCGTTAGTCAATCTTAGAAACTTTGTATATTTAGTGGTGTTCAAAGGTGGTTGGTTCCAAAGACTGTTTCTGTGTCTTTTTCATAAGAGAAGGTCTTTTATTGTGTGTTTTCTAGAAATGCCTGTATCGCCTTGACATTCAAGCAGTAGATAATAAATCATATAATTAATTCTTGACCCCCCTCACTCAGCTTTTGATTGTGTCTTTTGGGTCATTAAGAGGTTTTTAAGACATGAGCCTAAATTTTTTCATAGATTTAAAAATGCTTGTATCATGTTCATGTCATACTAATATTTGATAAATCTAAGGTACACATTTGAAATGAATTAATTTAATGAGCTTAACAAGGAAATGCTGGGATTGTAGTATAATCTCAGAAATTTGAGGAAACTCAAAGGAATTTTGACTTGAATCAGTGCTTTCTTCTAGCCCTTTAAGAAATGATCTGCAAATATCTCCTTAGTCTATCACAAGTACTAAAAGAGTGAAAAGTACCTTTTCAACTGAGGGCAAATGTGACTGTTTGTGCAAATCTTCCCCTATTAAGTCACTAGGATAGAGCAAGCGTTTTAAAGGTGAAATGTGAAAAGCAGTGTATTGGGGAAAAAGTTTGTCAGATTTTTAAAAATTCCGTTTGCACTAATTGCAGTGTGAATGAAAAGCGCCATTAAAGTTTATTAGCTGCCAAATTTTGTAGAACCCAGCCTTTGCATAGAATGGGCTTTGTGCCCTTAACTGTTCCATGCAAGGAGCCAATAACTGTGTTTTTCCTTTATGGCCAGATTACAATATTTTGTGCCAGAACCTCAATGATTTCCTCTGTTTCTTGCCACATTTAGTCTCAGATCAATTGTGGTCACAAGGGAGAAACAACATATTTATTCTGGAAAATAATATTAAAAATAGGACTGTTGTAATAACCAAATCAAGAGACTTGACATCAGAACACATTTCTCCATTATTTCTGTTGCTTATACATAGTTGCCTCCTTTATTCCGTCTCTTGAAGAGAAACTACCAATAATATTGTTTCAGATTATACATTTTGAAGGAATTTATTTCACTTCCATTAATTTTATCAAACGGATATAAAATAATAATTTATAGTGAGTAACTTGAACTTTGGCTAGTTCTTTGAACTATGTCAAAAATGCTATGAACAAAATCAACCCCATCTGCACATTATTTAGGAAGTGACATTGAATGCTGGGCTATTTGCTTATGTATTTTGCATTTCTAAGTTTACAAAAAGAACATTAATAAAGAGGGAAGCATGAAAAATTTCTGTGGAGAGGATTTTTTTAGATTTCTTCTCTCAGGATTGCTTTTTTTTTTTTAAAAAAAGATTTATTTATTCATACAGAACTGGGGTATAAGCCAGAGATGCGGAGGGTGAGAGGATTCACCAGAGACAGAGCAGAACAGGCAGATCGAGGAAGTACACTGCTGAGGGGAGCAGTGAGCGGGCCAGGAGAGGTCTGCCACACCATGTGGTCACCTCTGGGCAAGCGGGAATCTAACTCATGCTCGAGTGGCTTCAGCTTCTTAGTGCAGTGCTTTAACCCGCTGCGCTACCAGGGAGGGCCAGGATTGCTTTTTTTTTTTTTTAATAACTCTTCAGGGTCCTCCCTGGTAGCACAATGGGTTAAAGCACTGCACTGAGAAGCTAAAGCCACTTCAGCATGAGTTCAATCCCCACCTGACCTGGAGGAGATCCACATGGCGTGGCAAATCTCTCCTGACCCACCTGCTGCTACCGTCAGCAGTGTACTTCGTCAGTCAGCCTTTTCTGCTCCCCACTCTTTCTCTGGTGAATTCTCTTACCGCCCCTGCACCTCTGGCCTGAACCCCAGTTCTGTATGCACAAATAAATCTTTAAAAAAATAACTCTTCAAATAATCCTAATCTTGACTTCTGCTGCTCTGCCTTTTACTCACCATGCTCCTTTCTCTTCTTAATCCTTCTTCGGCTATATGCCATGTCTTGAGGCTCAAGACTGCTAGACAAGGCGTGTGTCACTCTTTATAGCAGATGTGGATGTCTGTCCAGGTTCCAGAGAGTTATTGTAATGCCACACTTGTGGCTGTGTGCGCCCCAGTTTCTTCTGATTAGTGTAGATAAAACAGTATGATATGCTGTCTGTCCGGCCAGCTATTGTGCTGTATACTTGAGTTCTGCCATAAGTAAACATTTGACTATGGTCCACGATGCCAGGTGACCTGAGAATTGAAACAAAATGTTTTAATTGGTAACCATTCTTTCCAGAATGCTAGTAGACTCCAAGTATAATTTCTAAAAAATGACTTATAAAATTATTCCAGAATGAGGCTTAACCTGACCTGAACTATTTCCCTTCTTCATTCTTCTTATTCTTCTTATTTTAGTACCTTAGTCTTCAGTCACTTCAGAGAACTTCACACTATGAAATCAAATCAAAGGGCATATCTCTTGATGATCGATTGTTATGAAGAGCATTTTGGTGTAACTGTAGAAAAAACAGTTTACTTGGTTTGTATTTTCCTTGAGTTTAATATTGGCATTAAATGACTTTACATTACATTCATTTGAAGAAACTCCTCATTGTGTGCAAAAATCTACACACAGAGATTGTTCAATAAATGTTTAATAACATTTAGACCACAAATATAAATTGAAAATAGTATATATCATTGTAATGTATTTCAAGTTCATTGAAATACATCAGTAGGTGTATGACTCTGAGAGATTGTGTTTGTGAATATGTGAACCTGTACATGTGTGTGTGTATGTGTATTTATATGTTAGTTATTGATAATTTGTTTTTTATCTTCAGGTTCCAGTGCAGTGGTCAGACATGGTCACTTTGAAAGCTAGAATGACCAATTATGGTTTACCTAGATACCGGTGGCTTACTCACGCTTGGAATTTTTTTCAGAGAGAGGTAATTGCTCTAATTTCTGAGGGAGAACGTATGGAATAAATGGCACACTTTCAAAACAAACATTCAAAGCTTTGGCTTTGGGCAGTTCCTCTATACTAAAAAGTCTCTGATTTAGTTGCTATGGGTGTAATTCTTTATTGAGAAATACCTTAAGTCACCCCATTCCCTGCCTTCCTTCCCATGCAAGCCTTTCCCCTTCATTTTATAAGGTTCAATTATATTTTAGAATTTCTCAAAAATCATTTGGCTAAACTAACATGAAGTTCATTATGAAAGTCACTTGATATCTAAATTCTATTTAAACAGAATTTTTTTCATGACTTTTAGAGCTAGCTAAAAGTATAATTTTCAAGTCATGGCTCTAATTTGCAAGTTAGAAGTCAGGACTTGATTAAAGGCAAAAGCATAAGCTTTCTAATCAAAATCTGGCTCTGCTGCTTACTATGTGAGCTTCTAGAATTTAGTGAACTTTCTGAAACCTCAACCTCCTCACCTATAGAATGGGATAATACAAGTACCTATCTTTTTGAGTTGTTGGAAAGATTAAATGGAATCATGAATTCGATGTTATCTAACTTGTAGTTATTAACAGTAATATTAAAAGGTGCACCTACCTTTTTTTTTTAAGACTTATTTATTTATGCATACAGAACTGGGGTACAGGCCAGAGGTGCAGGGGTGGTCAGAGGATTCACCACACACACAGAGCAGGGAGCAGAACAGGCAGATCGATAAAGTACACTGCTGAGGAGAGCATCAGGCAGGTCAGAAGAGGTCTGCCGCACCGTGTGGATCTCCTCGGGGCAGGCGGGAATTGAACTCATGCTGAAGTGTCTTTAGCTTCTTACTGCTGTGCTTTAACCCACTGCGCCACCAGGGAGGGCCGGCACCTACTTTTTTTTTTTTTTTTTTAAAGATTTATTTATTTGTGCATACAGAACTGGGGTACAGGCCAGAGGCTCAGGGGCGGTGAGAGGCTTCACCAGAGACAGAGTGGGGAACAGAACAGGCAGATCGACGAGGTACACTGCTGAGGGGAGCAGCGGGTGCGTCAGGAGAGGTCTGCCATACCATGTGGTCACCTCCGGGGCAGGTGGGAATCGAACTCTTGCGGAAGTGGCTTTAGATTCTCAGGGCTGTGCTTTAACCCACTGCGCCACCAGGGAGGGCCCGCGCACCTACCTTTTTAACCTAACATCCCTACAGCACTGCTCCTGCTCATTCTCAAGTGGGGACTATGTTTAGACATTCAGTCTCTGGGTACTTGATGTTAACTGTCAATCTTGCCTCAAATCAAGCTCTTCTCCTAAGCAGTGTCCTTGTGATTGGAGTGACATTCCCAGATGAGCAAATATGTTATTTCCCTTTAATTTCATTTAGAGCTGGACCGCAAAGCATTTACGAATCATTGCCCTACAGCACAGATATCCTGCTCTCTGCTCAGCTACTCTGTCTTAAATATGGGCAGAGATTCAAGTCTAGGAGCATCTCCAAATCTGACTCTTTGTGCTACAGTTATTGAGATGGTGAAAATTATCATTGTAACACAGATTTCCTGTTTATTTACATGCTTCCTGACTTTGCTTACTGATCATTTGTACTAAAAACAACAGGAAGAGAAAATAAGTGAAGCATAAGGGAATTTATAGTAAGCTGTGTTGAGCTACTGTCCTGGGAGGAGGCTGCCCAGAGTGCTTTATTTTCGGAGATTAGTGCTGTAGACCACAATAATCTTGATTTTAAAAAAAATCAGTTGTTTTGTAACCATACGAAGAGACCCCAGCTCAGTAGACAATGAAGAAACACTGCGAAGGACAACATGTTTATGTTTAGATTTGTAGCATAAATTCCCTCCTCTATATCCTATAGCTATTTAACATAAAAGAAGTGGTGAAGACCTCTGGGTTCCCTGCAAGTGTTTCTAAACACCTGTTAGTCTGCTAGGGCTGTGTTCATATCACAGTTACCACAGGACAATGGAAATGTATCTCTCCCATTTTGCAAGCCAAAAGTCTCAAATCAAGGTGTGCAGGGTTGATCTCTCCTGTGGCCTCTTTCCTAAGTCTGTCAATGGCTGTCTTCATGCCATCTTCATTCCACGTGTCCATGTTTAAATTTTCTCTTCTCATAAGGACATCTGTCATATGAGTTGGGATCACAACAGTGATCTTATTTATGTCTCTAAAGATCCTTTCTTCAGATTCTGGAGATTTGACCTTCAACATGAATGTGGGGGTGACACAATTCAGCCCATACCACCTCTCTTCCACAACAATTTGTAGACCTGAGCCAAGTTTGGTGAGGCCTCAGTTTCCCTGACTGGTCCTTAAGTACTGTTTTATGCATGTAGCTCTACTTAGTGGATTTTTCCTTAAGCTGGTAACATGTCTTTAAGACTTTTAAAAAACCTGGACATTGGGCCCTCTCTAGTGAAGCAATGGTTTAAGGCGCAGTGCTGCAAAGCCGGTGCAGCTGCTGCACCACGAGTCCTGTCTCCAGCCAGGGAGGTGTCCCACATGGCACAGCAGACCTCTCCTGTTTCATCCACGGCTCCTCTCAGCAGTGTACTTAGTCAGTCTGCTTGTTCTGCTCCCGGATCTGCCTCTGGTGAATCTTCTCACCACCCCTGCGCCTCTGGCCTGTGCCCCAGTTCTGTATGCATAAATAAATAAATCTTAAAAAAACAAAACAAAGCAAAACAAACCTGGACCTGGAGGGAATCATGCTAAGAGTAATAAGTCAGACAAAGAAAGACACAGCATGATCTCAGTCATACATAGAAACTTTAAAAGAAAAAAATAAACAAAACTCAAATTCATAAAGGGCAACTGGTAGGTTGTAGGCAAGAGTTTGGGTAGTTGGTGGGAAAGGTGGATATGAAGGGGGTGTGCCAAAGTGGGGAAAGGAAGTCAAAAGGTACAACTTCAGTCACAAAATCAACAAGTCATAAGGATGCAATGTATGTAGGGATGGCATCGAAAAAGACTGAAGAGTCATTTGAAAGTTGTTAGTTAAGTAGATCTTACAGTTCTCATCACAAGAACATGTTCTAGGACTATGTGGTAACGTGTGTCAAATTTTAGGAAATAGTGCCATCATTTTCCAGATGAAGAAATCAAGGTTCTAGTGGATCATAATAATAAAAATAAAGTTCCATAATAATAATAATAAAAAGTTTTCCTAATGGGGAAAATAGTCCCTGACTTTTAAAATTTCGTATTTGAACATAGTGGTTGGAAAGTAAGCTTTGGTATAAGTAGCCTCTGCTGCACACTGTGATTTTGGCAATTTATTTGATCCACTCGAACTTTGGTTTCTTCATCTGGAAAATGATGGCGGTATTTTCTGGAATTTGACACACAATCCCAAGAGTGGTGCTATCTCACAAGATAATTTTTAAAGAAGCCAGGAAAACTGCAAAGATTATAGACTACAGTCACATGGGCATAACAATGGTCTTGCTTAAAGGAGTTTTCAGGAAAATTTTAGTACCAATTCATTATCTTCTGTTGCAAAAGGAAAACAGCTATGTAAAAAGAAAAACTATCTTACTGACTTATAAAAAGAAAATGCTTGGCACTGAATGTGGGATGCCTAAGTTTTTTGGAAGTTATTATGTGGAACACCTCATTTCCTGACAAGGTCAGATAAATGGGCTGTTCTATTGTGGATGGGCTTGTGTGTTCCAAGAACTGTCCTTCTGTCATCGACATAGAAAAACACACATTGTTAGGAAATAAGAGAAATAGGTTTCTCTGAGTGTAAGGATTTAAAAAGACTGACTTGGGAAGGAGGTAGTTTATGATTTTTAGAAAGTGAAGTCTTCATGGTGCATATGTTTTCTATGACTACTCAATGACTTACATAAAATATATGATGTCAAATTATATTTGACTTAATTTATCACACTTCTGGTATCTACCTGGTTTTTAGAACAGTGTATAAAATGGAAATGCTAAAGAGATAAAAAAAAGTTTCTTGGAAAATTCTAGTATTACTCATAGTGTTCAGTAATCCATCATTTATAATATTCTTAAGATGATTTCCTTTCTTTTTTAAAATTAGATATGTAAGCAAAGAAAAAAAATGGAAAATCACTGCTAGTATTATCCTTGTTACATTTGCATGCGAAGCTGAGAATTCTTCAAAGTTGATTTTAGTTGGATTTTGAAGTGATGGGTTGTGATATTTTACGACGCAGTGTTAATCCGGGACATGGATGGACCTGGTAGGCTACATAGCTTGCAGAGCTAGTCACTCTTGGCCAGGCTCCTCATAGTGACAGCTCATATTCCTTGTTTTTGCTGCTGTAGAAGAGTAAACCTCCTCTACCCAAGGGTAGAAAATTATTCATCAGAGTTAATTATTTTGGATCTAATATGAGTCTGTCTCTAAATAAGTGTTCTAAACCACTATCAGAGGAAGTTTTTGCTAATCTTTGGTACAGTGAAACCAAAAACATAATATTTTTCTTAAATCCAAGGTAATTCAAGCTAAAGACACTTGACTTTTCTGGCATTATGTCAGAATTCTTTATATTTATAATGTCACTCATATAATTAAAAATTGTTGATCCCAACCTATGTTTAGATCTCAGAAAGTTTTACTGGTTAATAAATCCAAGTCTGGTAAATCTTTGCGATGGGGATTCTTAAACAGATTTGGGAAAGAAATCTTTTTCAAGAGACTAAAGAAATTTTTAATATAATATTTGAATTTGATAAATAATTAACTGGTAAGTAAGGGACATAAAATTGATTGATCAACTGTTCTTTAGAAGCTTGAGGTTTAATAATAAATGTAAATTTTCAGCTATTTCATTTGATCATGTATGTTAACTCCACTGGGGTGGAGAATCTTCTGGTTGGGGAGTGTAACTTAGTCCCGTGTGATCTGTTCTCATGTGTTTCATGAATGCTTAGAAACAGTTTCAGAGTGGAGTTCTTCGTCACATTTCTGTCATCGACACAGGATGTACACATATCATTAGGTGATGACAGAAATGTGTTTAGTGCTATGTACAAACATTTAAGAAACCTATCATTTAAGCCTTTAAGTTAAGAAAATATTTTTTCTGTTTCTGAGTCTATCCTCTCCTGTTCTTTGCAGTTTAAGTGCTGTGGAGTGGTATATTTCACCGACTGGTTGGAAATGACAGAGATGGACTGGCCCCCGGATTCCTGCTGTGTTAGGGAATTTCCAGGATGTTCCAAACAGGCCCACCAGGAAGATCTCAGTGACCTTTACCAAGAGGTAAGGCCTTATATGGTTAAACCATTAGGAATATAAGTTTTCTTACAATGACCTTTAAAGAAAGAACTAACAACACACCGATGAAATTTTCTTTTTCTGTCAAAATATAAAGGCCCTTCGATTTTTTGCTCTGATAATGTGGAGAAGCAGGATAGTTAATGTATTCAGTATAAAACTTGAATACTAATCACATTTTAACAAAGGAAATTGGCAAAGCTAGGTTTTAGAATTCATTGCATTTTAATCTGTATTGTCTAGATCCAATTTCTGTGCCACCTCCTAGGGGTCCTTTGAAGACAGATATGTGAACAGCTTGAGTCTTACTCTGGAAATTCAGGAGAAGAGGGCTTGCAGTTCCTGAGCAGAATACGTATTTTCCGGCCTCTTTCCATTAAAACATACATTGGGGAGAAAGTCCCACTCTCTAGCAAATATGCTGTTATCTACTCTTCACCCCCCCCTGCTGGTAATAGCTGTTGTGTTAGTTAACTGATTTAATTAAATTACATGCTCACTGGGCTTCAAACCAATTGTCACATGCTCAGAAACTTGTACATTGATGTTTTCTGGAAGCATTTGTCAGAATCATCAGTTATTCTATTATTACCAAGTTTTCTCATGCCTTCATTTTTAGTGGTGATTTCCATACTTCATTAGCAGAAGAATCTGATTTTCAATTTATAATCTAAAACTGTATCATCTAACATAGGATTGATGGTTATGTGTGATTGTTTTATATTTTTCTTCTTTAAAGCTCTTGAGAGCTCTTTTTAGCTCTGTTAGAGCTATACATTCTTTTTTAAGAGCTCTATACTTCTTCAGAGCTATACATATATGTGTTGTAGTATGAATAATGCGAATGCTAGTCTATGTCAAGTCAGAGTTTTTCCACATTGCGATTCCAGATAACGGGTAGGTACTTGCTGGAGTTATAGCTGGGAGATGACTTCAGTGCCCCAGACAGAACAGCAGCCCTCCATTGATTTACATTTTGGGTTTCCATTCTAGATCACCACTGTCTAATAAAACCTTCCATTATGATAAAAAATAGCTTATGTCTGTTATGCAGCAAAAGAGCTGGTAGTCTACACAGCTCATTGTCACTTGCCATGTCACAGGGCAACTGAAGAACTGAAATTTGTATTTCATTTTAATTTAACAGAATCCAATTTATGAAACATGCATTTATATATATTTTAAGACGGTTGCCTTAGGAGATTACATATACTCCCCACTAGAAATACTATTATTGATCAAAATCTTTTTTTTAGGCTGTCTGCCAAAGTCAGTTGTGGAGATATTTAAAAAAATCACTTTTATTCATTTATAGTAAAGATTAGCTAATTTGAAAAAAAAAATGCTGGTTATCCCTGCACAGATGATCCATCCTATCTATGTGTTCAATTCAAGTAGCTATCCTCAGGCAACTGAAAAATTACTGCAGAGGACAAGACGATGGCATATTAAATGGGATCCAAAGTGAAGTGCTTTGAGCTCTAGGGCACGCCACAGAGAAGCGTGTGAGGTAATTGTTAAGAGACTCAGAATTGTGTAAGTTTTCTGCTGTCATGAAGAACCAAATCGAGGGGCTTCTACTGCAGATCCACCTTCCAGGGGATCATCAAGGTGTGGCAAGGTTGGTTCCTTCTGAAGAATGTGAGGAAGACTGTTCTGTGCCTTTCCCTCAGCTTCTGGAGTTTTGCTGGGAACAGCCAACTTCCCTGTAGAAGCAGCTCTCCCGTCTCCACGTCCACTGGCATATGGCTCTTTCCTCATTGTCTCTGCATTTCTCCTTGTATGGGGAAACTGGCCGTAATGGTTTAGGGGCTAACCTTTCTTTCTTTTTTCGTTTATTTTATTTATTTATTTTAGAAATTGAATTATGTTTATTTTAATCTTAACAAAATGGGCCCCAGCACTGTAATAATTTCAGATGCCTTAACATTGGGAAGTCCTATATTAACAAAGTTGTCCCCTTTATTTTTTTTAAAGATTCATTTATTTATGCATACAGAGAGGGAACAAGCCAGAGGTACAGGGGGTGAGAAGATTCACCAGAGACAGTGGGGAGCAGAACAGGCAGACTGATGCACTGCTCAAGGGAGTAGCAGGTAGGTCAGGAGAGGTCTGCTGCACCTGGCTGGGAGAGTTCACAGTGCTGTGCTTTAACTTGCTGCACCATCAGGGAGGACCCCAAAATTGTCCCCTTTAAAGCAGACCCATTTTTTTTTTTTTTACATCTGAAAATGCCACACAGACACACAAAGATATAAAATGAACCAACAATCTTAACAGGAAAGGTCAATATATAAATCCATTTCATGAACAGAAATCTGTGATTTTTTTTCCTTAATCGTCATATAACTGCTTTTTTTTCTGCTTTATCTTTAGTGTTTTGTCTACTTTAGGAGCCTTGAGAATTATAAAGCATTTTTATTTTTTTAAATTTAAAAGGACACGTTTATTAGGAAAAGGAGACACCCGCATAGTTACAGGCTGGTGGAAAGGCAGCAGGGACATACCCTTTTCCAGTACAACATCACCTTAACTAATCACATCTGCCAAGACTCATTGCTAAATATGATCCTACTTTGGGGCACCGAGGGCTAGGACCATCACGCACACATGCTTCTAGAGGGGACACAATTCAGCTCAAAACAGGAATCGCTGAAACAACTAAATAATGGAGGTTGCTTATTTTTTTATTTTTTATTTTTAAAGATTTATTTATTTATGCATACAGAACTGGGGTACAAGCCAGAGGTGCAGGGGTGGTGAGAGGCTTCACCAGAAACAGAGCGGGGAGCAGAACAGGCAGATGGACGAAGTACACTGCTGAGGGGAGCAGCGGGCGGGCCAGGAGAGGTCTGCCACGCCATGTGGTCACCTCCGGGGCAGGCGGAAATCGAACTCATGCGGAAGTGGCTTTAGCTTCTCAGTGCTGTACTTTAACCTGCTGCGCCACCAGGGAGGGCCCCGGAGGTTGTTTATTTTAAAAGGCCGTTGGATTATTTTTGATTCATGCTCCATAGTACTGATATGCGCTTTGTTTGGATGTTATCATTCTACATATCTTGTGTTCAGTAGCATTTGGCTTTGATTGAAAAGGAATATAAGTTTTATACCAAAGAGTAGTTGGGTTGTTGTCTTAGAGTTCCTTGGTAATCCTGTTACATCTTGTTTTCTGGGTAAAAGCTGAATGTTGACAAGGTTTGTAGTAGGGATTAATTAATCAGTGGAGCAGGTAAAGTTCTGCTCATTCTATAAAACAGAAAATAGTGCTTAACAAATCTGAGATACTACTAAATGCCTGTAGCATTATGGATATACAAATTAATGATAATATACTACTAGGTTTTAAGTAAAACGATGATTATAGTATAGAGATGTAAGTGTGGATATGTGAATTGAAATTCAACAATTTTCCTACCGTGAACTTAATCCATTTGTTAGCTTATCGGAGTAGCATGTAACGGTGGGGAATTTTGAGGCTCTGACACCAGACTGTCGTAATTTCTACCTTCTTTACAGATTATTATTGATGATTTGATAAAGACCAGTGTTAATCATGTGGGAGGCAAACATGAATCATTTCCCAGCTCTTCCCACCAAGTTTGAATATGGACCACTTCACTTCAATTTTACTTTATTTAGTTGCAAGGTGTTCAATCACACGTCCTTTAAATTTACTTGTAAAAACAATCCATTTTTACTTGTTTGTCTTAGATTATTTCCTCCAGCAGTATTTAAATGAAGTGCTGTACCTTCAGGATGTCTATAACTTAGATATCCACAAATTTTAAGATTTAAAAGTAGCCCCACTCTTGTGCTTCTGCAAATGGATGACTCAAGATTGTTTTAAAATTTTTTAATATATTTTTTATATTTTATTTGATATTTTATATTTCAGAAGGCTCTCAGAACCGAGTTGGCCCTGTCACTTATAAGATGTTCTTTGGACAAATGTCCAGTAGAGGTGGAGATTCAATATATCTGAGTAATTAATTGTAAAATTACATTTTTAAATTAATCATGGGTGCTGATATTGGTAATGATATGGTGCATAATTAGATACATAGTTGACTCACAAAAGTGGATCTCTCTGAGGCTTTATGGCACTGAGTACTATTAAATCCATCATTAAAAGTAAGAGTTAATTCCACTTCTCCTTGCTGAACATATGTTTCCTAATTACCATGTGCCCAGAAATTGCAAGATGAAGGGTCTGGGAAGAGAAGCAAATGAGGTATGGCTAGAGGTATTAGGGATGTTTATTATGAAGTCGCAAGTTCTAAGAGGAGCTATTTTAGGTGTCCTCAAATATTTCAAAGTTCATCATGCAGAACAGGAACTCAACTTACTCATTGTTGCTCCGAGGGCCAGAAGTTACAGGAAGGAAATTTTGAATCAATAGAAGGAAGGCCTTGCTCATCAAAATCCGTCCAATTGTGAGACAGTTTCTCTTGTAAAATAGTGAAGGTCTCATCACTAAAATATTAAAGTCAAGGTCAGAAAACCATGTCATGGGTGGTAGAATGGGTTTTTAAATTAAGAGTGAATCTGTACCAGATAAACTTCAAGGTCCCTTTTATCTTTCATATTCTGTAAGCTCAGAGATAAGAATTGGCTTACTTCCTGCAATCTTTCTTCAGTAGTTTGAAATCAAGGGAGTAAATCATTCTCATCCATCTGGTGACCTGCATGGTCCCTGACCCAGTAATATTTTGTGACACATTTTCAAACCTGTGAAAAATGGCAGAACAGGCATATAGCAACAATCACACATTTTAGCAGTGTTCCTATCAGAGGTATTGGGTTCGGAACATTGCTCCACAAATACCTTTAATAATCTACACACTTACATGGACACAGGGATTTTAAATCACAAAGGAAAATGTCGCTGACCATGAGCTTGGCACAATTACATTAATTCAAAATGTGCGGGGAGTTACCTGTGCTTCTTATGTGTTAAGGATGCAACAGGAAACATTGTAGGCGAA